TTGTTACTTCATAATGAATAATCTGAAAAGGCAAATTTTACATTCTTTTTAAAAATTTCCTATCTTATAATCTTATAATTTTATTCTTCTAATTGAATTCTAGAATCCTTTTGTCAAGTTCTCCCAAGTCCCTCTGAGACTTTACACTAGTATCTGTTATTATTAATAGAAAGTTCACATTTAGTGAGAATTTGCTATGTGTCAGGCACTTGCTAAGCATTTTCCATGTACTACTATATTTAATTTGGCCAAAAACTCTATAGTAAAGTACTATTATTATTCCTATTTATGGTTGAGAAAACGAAGAAGTAGACAGGCTATGAAACTTGTTCTATATCATATAACTGGTAAAGGGCCAACCTAACTGGAATCCATGTACTTCAGATGTCAAAGTCCACTTCACAATAGTATTTTCCCAATTTGGAACTCACTCTATTTTTTTTTTTAAAGTAAAGACAAAGTGTTGTATTCTCTCTGGGAAAAACAGGCTAAGAAGCTATTTAGGAATTTTTCCTGAGGGTTTTCCTATACTGAATTCATCAATTAATAAATTTCCATAATGAAAATTCAAACTTAAAAAAATTCAAAGTATAAAAGAAACAGTTAAATTATATTGGCAATATGAAAGTAAACACCAGATGTCTTATCAAGCATCTAAGTGAGACCTCAGAGAATCAAATTTAAATTCTGTTGAAATGGTCATTTTGAAGTAGCCTCAGAATAACATCAAACCTTTCAGGCAAAAAAGTTATTAACTCAAGTTTAAAATACTAAAAAGTGGGAGTTTAAAATATACCTCCCAAAAGGACAGAATAGATACCTTAATTCAGACTTAAACTGTGTATTCAGATTTATACTCTGTATTTTCTGCTATCCACTTAACATGTAAAGATACACAAAATACTAATTCCTGGGGCGGGATCCATACAACATCTCAAAATAATAAATAATTTGATCTACATCTGTGAAAAGGCTCAGCTTATTTATCAAACATTTTTTGCTTCCTTCCTATCCCCCCACCCCCTGCTTCTTTTTGGCCCAGAAACCTGGCAGTGCCAAATAAAATACAGCTGAAGCTATGGCCCATTATGACTTCTGACTCATTTGATCACATTAAGAGAATATTCACTTGAGGCACTTGATCAGCCTGGATAGTCTTCCAGCCCTTTCTCCTTCCTACCCTTCTCTGCCTGCCCTTATGTAGAGCATACACCATTTGCTCTCCAAGCTTCCATCTGATGGGCTGTCACTTACCTATATCACTTCTTAGTGGGCAAATCATCACTTAGATGAAGTTAAGTTTAAAGAAGCCACAAGAGGTGATAAAAGCTCCCGTGTTCATGAGGTTAAACTGATTAGTCTCCAAATATCATGAGTTAGGCCCACCTATGTATGCATTAAGTTTTGATATGTGCTTGAGAGATTCAAATCTTCGCTGTAACTAGGGCTATTGAAATATTGTCCTGGAAACTGAGGTTATAAAAGGAAGCCTCCAGCAAACTAAGGCAAGCCTTTCAATCTCAGCACCTGCATGGACAAAGCTGACAACATGCATGTATGTGAAGTCCAGCTAGATCACTAAATCATTCACATTAAGATTTTTAAAAAACACTACCCTGATGGCCTTCTGTGACTCCTGCTCTAAAACTAGAATGCATACAGGAGAGATTAGAAAATAAACATTTAATGAAAGTAGATTCCTTAGAAGCCATATTCCCCAGCAGAACTATGTGAACACCAGAGATGCAGAAGAGAGAAATATACGTTTCATGGTTCTGCAATAAAAAAAATTCACTCAGAAAAGGTTAAGGGAAAACCTGGTAAAGTTGATAAAGACAAGCAGGAGAAATGTGAGGCAAAGAAGTTCATAAAGTAATTTCCAGTGGGAAAGATTTTCAAACTCTGGACACCAAGGAGGATGTTACCATCATGGCCTTCACTAGAGAAAAGAAAGGGCACATCCAAGGTGCTGGGCTCATAAAATCATGAGGCTAGAAAAGACCAACGTTTTTTTATTCTGAAATGTTTATACATCTGCAATTTAATAGGGAACATGGCAAAATTACATACACTCTGCCTTTTCATACAACCACTTAGTCACTTCACCTTCCTAGGCCTTCGTTACCTAAGCTGATGGAGGTGAACCAGATGATTTCTAAGTTCTCATCCAGATCTTAAAAAATGATCATGTCTGTGAAAAATGTTTATATGATTTATGTGTTTAGTAATCTACTCCCTTCTAATATGACACTTTACCTTCACATATTCTGATACAACTATCATAGCTAAACCAACATTGTAAATTGCACAATACAGGCTTAAAGCAGAAACAATTCCTCACAATTATTTCTTATTATCTCACGATAATGGTATCACAACACCTATGGAGATAATGAAAATTAAGCACAAAACAAATATAAGATACATCTTTAATATATTTCTCATAGAAAAGAAAAGAGACTGCATGAAACCATTCTGTCCTTTTCCTCTCATACTGCTAGACCAATTTAAGTGAAAAAAGGCCAGATCAAGAATAGCTTACACAGGAGGAGGCTCTGGCTGGAAATGTATTTGTACCACTGTGGTCTGTGTGGTCTAGAAGGAAGCACAGTGGCCTGGGAGATTTGGATTCTAGATCTAAGCCTTCCAGTAACCATGTAACTCCAGGCAAAGATATTTCACTTTTCCTGCCTCCATTTTCTATTTGTAAAAGAGCAGTAATTCCACATGTCTCTTCTACCTCAAAAATATGCTAAGTACAGAGACAAAGTGTATGAAAATTTTGAGTTCTAGGGAAGAAAAATATTATAGGCAATAATGAAGCTCACTAATGACACAGAGCACCGATTTAACAACTTTTTTAAAAACTCACTATCGTGATTAAATCAAGACAAATGGGAGGGAGAGCCACTCAACCACAAAGTCACAAAGGTGTCATCAGCAAGTGAAAGCAAGGCATCATGACTGTGACAGTGACACACAACCCACAGCCTCAACCTCTCCATTGAAACAAACGCAGCCAGACCTGGCAAAAGAGGCACAAACCTGGCTCACAGCCTCCTGGGCTGGGAACAAACCCATTTTCCATCTTTCTTCTTTTCTTCATTTCTTTTTCTCTTCCTTCTTCCCTTCCTTTTTCCTCTGCCTTTTCCTTCCACACATTCAAAATTTTTTCATTCAGGGCTTAAATGTTCCATATTCCAGCTGCTTATAGATCTAGTTATTTAAATGAAAATGACTAAGACGGGCATTTGGAGGTCACTAGACAGGGGTGCTCAGACAGGGACAAAGGAAGAGAACCCAGGGATGCTGCAGCCTGAACTGACAGGTAACCAGCCAATCAGGTGGGCCCATCCCATCCCTCTTTACCTTTTCTTTTTTATGTGCTTGTCTTTTTCCCTCTAGTCTCCTTGTTTTTCCTGTGGACAGGCAGGAGGGTGGGGGGTGAGGGAAGCCATATATTGAATGCTGATTATAACGACTATTTTTCATTTACTATCTCATTAAGCCTAACTATTTCTCAGGAAAATAATCCTGTAACAGCGGACAGAAGATGGACAAGTGGAGACCAAAGGACCAGTGAGAAGGATGTTACAAGAGCAAGATGAAGAGGGCCTAAAATAAAGGCAAACAATGTCAAAACCATTTCTCTGTGGAAAGGCCAAATATTCTAAAAGGCCAAATAAGAAATATTGTTTTGAAATAAAAGTTGGGTTCTATCTGTGCGTAGTTAAGGTAAAAATACTTCAAATCATAGAATATAGAATCCATGACTCCAAACCAGCTATTTTCCTGCCCCCAAATTTAGAGGCTGAATCACACATATATCCATAACAATTGTAATAACTATAGCTTGAATTTTTTGACAGTATCTCTGTTCCAAGCATTGCGCTGGGTGCTTTACAAACATATAAGGCCCCAGCAACAAGGCAAGCATTATTATGCTCATTTTCTGAAGAAAGAAACTAAGACTCTGGAAAGTTAAGTAATATGCCCAGGGTGATATTAGTAGTAAGGGATAGAGGCAGCATCCATGCATTGGTCTGTCTGCCTCCAGAGTCTGTGCTTATTAGATTATGCTATGCTATGCTGTCTCCGTGTTTATCTTTTTACAATTTCACTTGCATTTCTTTTTACTTCTAGGAATGCTGATTGAGGGGGAAAAGGAAGCAACAGCAAGAGTGTCAGCATGGGAATGGGGGGGGGACAAAAGGCATGTGAGAAGAAGAGAAAACCACACACACCGCTTCCCATACCATGGTCCTTGCTTTAGGAGGAAATAGATGCTACAGCTGCTGCATTTAATAAATTCATTTACATTGTGCTCCTTGGCGCTGCCATAGAGAGGCTAGGAAGAGGGAAACAGGATTTGGGAACTGCTGCCCCTGAGAGACCCCAGGGAAGCATGACTGACGGCACAGGAAGGGCAGACCTGGATGCCCGTGACCTTCACAGACTGCCCACGTAGGTACGAGCTCAGTCTCTCTCCACCTTGGCCACAGGTGCCTTGGCCCTGAGGCCTGCTCATGTCTCTTGATCCAAGTTGTTCCCTTTGTTTCTTCCTCCTTATTCCAATGACCACAATCTAAGCAAACAGCAGAAGGGTCTGGACTCATCTGGATTAAATTAGCTGCTTGTGTCATGCTATTTACATTTATGAAATACAGTATCGCGAGATCACATTTAGTAAAACTTTTCCTTAAAAATAGTTTTATCCTCTAATCCACTTTTTATTGGTTAGAAGCAAAACAAAATGGGTCATATATTTAAAAGCAGAGGGAAGAAAAAAGACATACCACTCCAGAAATGTCTAGTAAGCAAATACTCCAAGAATATTTATCCAAGTAGTTACCCTAGGATATCTGAGGGGAAACGTGAAAGCAATTTTCTTGGCTATCATCACTTTAATATGAAATTTAAACCCCAAATACAACCACAGGCACATTCCTTTAATTTGGGAAAAGTGCATAGTGTTTGGGGAGCACGGACGGAACTCTTACCTGGCATGACCATGGTCTGTGGGGCTGCCGCGTCAGTACTTAAGCAGAGACGGCCACCTTTGGCTAATCTATCGCACAGCAAGGTGATATGCTTCTTCAGTCGGCTGGTGTCTTTGGGTATGTTCAGTTGGCTGCTGAAGTTCAAAGCCTGCTCCTTCGAACTCTTCGACAAGCAAGTCTTCAACAGGTGGGAAATGGCAGCATCCACAGTTTCTTCCCAGCCCTGGATGCAAAAGCCAATTTTGAATTGATGCAAAGATGACAATGAGATAAGAGGACACTTTACTCATACAGGTGATTGAGTGTTTCTGTTCAAGTGCTGGGGATTCGTGAAGAGTGTGGTGCCTGGAATATTCCAGAGTAGACTGGTTTTGAATTCTATTGAAGAATAGTCCAAGCCCCTTATATTGGAGGAAAGAAATCTAAGACTCAGAGAGATGGTGCCTTTGGGAGCCCTGAATGCTAGTATCACTCCATCCTCAAATTTATCATTTGAGCCACCTTTCAAATATGCAAATCAGATGAGGTTACTCCCAAGCTTCAACTCCTAAATCCAAATGCTTAGTTTAGCATTTAAGGCATTTTCTGCTCCAGCTCCTGCTCCATTATATTCTCTTCCCATCTACCTTGCACCCACACTCTCTCCCTAAGCCCTCTGCACATGGTTGGCTCTTGCGCTGCAATGCCCTTTACCCGGCCAACCTCTACTTATGACTCAGCTCAGGCACTGCCATCCAAGGATTGATTTGTGGGCCCTCCTTAAAGCTCTGAGACCTCATGCACCCAGATCCATCACAGCACTCCTTCCCCTGTGCCGTGGTTGCTGGTTTCCCCACGAGAGCGCCTGGAGTTTTCCATACCCCTGCACTGTGCTTGGTATAAAAAGGGTGGTCAAGAAACATGTTTGCCGGGCAGAGAGATGGTGAGATATAGAACCAGGATCTTAGCACTGAGAGGGCTTTGCAGATCTTTAAGTCCAGTCTTGTGGGATTTTCCCAGGATCTTTTATACAGCAGCAACTATCTACCTAGGCATGGCTGTCTTCAAGATCCAAAATTACCACTTTTGGAGGCTGTTCACTCCTTTCAAGGATATGTGTAACCAGCAAAAAGCTATTTCTGCACTGAGCCAAAATCTGCCCCACTGGCCCTTATTCTGCCCTCCAGAGCCATGCAGAATAAATCTAACCTCTCTTCTACATGACAGCCCTTTATATCTATGAAGACAGCAATTCTGTACCCTCTCCTCCAGAATAAACATCCCAGTTCCTCCAGCTCTTCCTTATATAAACACAGTTTCAAGTTTTCTCTCCATCCTGACCACTCTTTGAATGAGCTCCAATTTTAAACACTTAAAAATTTATACAGCTAAGTAGAGAACCCCAAATTGACCCCAAGACACTGGGCTGGGGCTGGGAGTACAGGTAGGACACAGCCCTCTTTCCCTTTTTCTGGAAATTCTACCTGCCAACCTGGCCTCGAGTTGCCTCTGCTCCCTTGACAGCTGCACCACACTCCTGATTCACGATGTGCGCACAGACGCCTAAGCCCAGGCCTTTTCCATACTTGCTACATTTCTCCCTTCTAGGCTTATGCAGTTGGTTCTTTAGACCAAAGTGAGGACTCTCCATGTAACCACTAGAGAACTTTCCACTGATTGCCATGATGGGTTAATCAGGATTTTTTACTCTATTGACCCATTATATTATATACTCTATTGCTGCTAGGCAAATTAGGAAATAAATAAATAATTCTAAAATGAACTTGAAATCCTTTCAAGAGACCTCAAAGACTGTAAAAACAGCTTCCTACTCCAAACCACTAAAGAATAATAAACCACTGGTTACTAAAAAGACATCTCTCTACTGCTACCAAAATCTAACCTAGACAAATATCTAGAATTAACTTTGTATTTAGATAATAATGGGAAGAGGTAAATTAAGACAAAATAGTAACCCAGACATAATTAGAGAGAACATATTTTCAATTGAAGCCACTGACAAAGATCTCTGGAGTATAAAAAGGAAAGATCCTTTGAATATAATTTGGCATTTGTAAGCTCTGTGCTCATTTCAGCATTAAAACAGTTCCTACTTTCTTATAGACTATTCATCTAAGCAATCTATTATACTTGTAAATAGATTATAGTAGCATATTAGATAATTTAAGTAGATACAGCATTTAGTTAATGCAGAAGTACTACAGAATTTCTTTTCCTACTTGCTAACTTGCAGATCAATAAAAAATCATGTGATGTTTAGGTATTTGGCATAGATATTTCTTTAATATAATGAAGCATGATACCAATACCTCAGAAAGATTGCTACTGAAATACAAAGTTATTATTTAGAGGGCCTGAATTGCCACATAAATTGAAATACAATAATAAAAAAGAATGTTTATGAGATAAAAGAAAAGCCTTTGAAATGGGAGTTTTGTTAAATAAAAATCCAATGTGATAATTCACTGCTCAAACATGTAGCATACTTATCTAGTGAAAAGTGAAACAAAACTATATGGAATCTAGACTCTCAAATGTGAGAAGTACCTTAAAGATAAACTATTTTAACCACCCTTTTGATGTTTAAGTCTATGGCCTTTATTCACAGCCCTTAAATTGGTAAGTCTACCGTTCCGTTTTAATGTCTATACCTAACCTTTATCCTTTAAACATGAATATCAATCATACTCATATTTTGTCTCATATTGTGAGAGTAAAAGAAAATCTTAATTTGGAAAAAATAGCACTAAAAAATGTCTGGAAGGGAATTAGGCATGTGCTCCTCAGTGAGAACTGATTTTTGTAATAGTTCTCAGATCCAGTTTAAAGTCCCGGTTGATCTATGCATGGCTTTTAGAAAACAACATGAAGTATGAAGCAGAAGGAAGGGAGAAAGAGAGGAAGAGAAGGAGGAAGGGAAGGAGGGAGGAAGTTAGTTAAATGTACATGTTACTCTATTTTACTATCTTCACAACCCTTGTCAGTATTGGAAGGTAACTTATTCATTGGGTCTGAGGTGGGTTTTTGTATTTACTTTTTCTAGTCTAGTATCGATAATTGCGTTTTCTTTGTTCCCAAGGCCTTGAGTCTACCCACTGTGGTAACTTCAATTTTGTCTAAGTCCTCTACCAGAGCCCTTCCTGGGAGCCTGCTTAAAGTGTCACTCCTTGATACACTGGCTGCTTGCTCCTGCCAGATCCCCTCTAAGGAACCGACTCAGTTGCTTGGCCCTGTTGCCTGCTGCCTGACTTCCCCAATGCCAAGTTGCCTGGTGTGTGCATCCCCATCATGGCTTCCCAGTTCTCTCCTTCCACATTTTGTCTGCGGGTGTAGAGGCTCCTACACTCTAGTCCTGGATGCCTTCATGTGCCAGTGGGATGCCCAGGTATGCCCTGCTGAGGTGAGCCAGCTCTTTAAATTCAAGGCCCTGGCCTTGCCGTGTCTGTTTCTCCTGAATGAAGTCATTTGAGCTATGCTTCTTGTTAACCAGAGGCCAGACGGCTGTGGCTGAGTTTCTGATTACTCTGCTTTACCCACCCTGCTAGTCTCCACTGGTCACTAGGCCTAACTATCAGCACCAAGCAAGTGGCTTATCAGAAACAGTAAGAAGCAGAAGGTTTGACCAAGTTTGCAAAGTTAATTCCCTAACGTATCAACCAAAGCAACCAAAGAAAAAGAATAAACTAAAAGAGTATTCCCATGCCACCTGTGAATGAGATTAAACGAGATTTTACTGCATAATAAAAAAGCACAATGATTTGTGCCAGTTTGGTTCGGTAAAACTTTTAGAAGAGTCTACAAACGCTTTCAGCACTTTCATAGACTACTGAAACTGACATCTGGGAATGGCCTTCCGACACTATGGCTCCTGAAAACATAACGGTGGTCAAACTTGGTTCTGATGAGTCTGAATTGTAGCTACTCATTGCAGGGACTCATTAGTGAGGATACTGGAGCAGCCACTCCCTTTATCGAATCATAAGACACATGCGGTCGTAGACTCCTAAGTGTCCACATGTGATGGAGTCTAGGGAAAACTTCATTGACACCTAGGGCAAGAGAAGAACCATGTGAGTAAACTAAAGGCATCAACTCCTCCCCTGAAAATGCTGTATTCTTAACATTCTCAAAGAACAAGGAATGACCAAACTCAGGGAAAAAAATGCCCAAAAATACATGAAACCATTGATTTAAGTGTAAAGCAGTACAAGATCCTTTTTCTGTTTTTCTGTCCTCCCTTTAATTAGTTCGGATTTTTCAGGACCACCCAGAAGCTTGACTATTTTAAGATGTGGCTACCTATTTATTTCTTGATCAGGACCACCAATGGACATGAAAGGTCCACATACTAGATTTCTATTTCTATTTTCTTCAAATAGGATCAAAGCCTGAAGAAAAAGTATCTAGAATCGTGTTTGAAATGACTAAGCTGCACGTTGTTCAATGTTAGTTTCATTTTTCACAACAATCATGCTAACTAGCAAAACAGCACAAATCTAAGAAACTGTACAGTAATTATTTATGAAGTATTATCCATTCATTGATCCTAATTTTAAATGTCTTTGTCCACCAAATAAAACACAAGTTTGAGTCCATATAGCCACATTTGGTTCTCACAAACGACTTATCAGTGAGAGCTAAACCTAGATTTCATAACTATGTTATGCAAACTGCCAGATAAAAAATGAAAGCAGTAGAGACTCAACCTTCATTACTTCTCACAGTTTATATGTGGCTTTCTCTTCAAAAAGCAACAACTGGTTATATTTTTCCTATTTATAGTATATGACATGTGCTTCTGGTCAAGGACGCCTACTTCAAGATGGAAAGTCAAGGCCTTGCCTTTTTCTATAACTTCCTGCCCCTGATTCGACCACTCGCAAATTCCCTCTTAATAAAAAAAGACTATAATTCTTTTCCCCTGTGCTTATAAATATGCTACACCAACTCTAGGACATTTCCCCCCCCACATTTTAGCATCACTGAAGTGTCTTATACTCAGTGGTATCTAAACAACTGCTGACTTCCAGGCTCAGGTGATTCTGTAGTTGTTTTTGCCTGTGTATCCACGGCCTTTCTTTTAGCTATTTATATCATGTCACGTGCACTGACTTGTGTGCAACGTTCATATTCCCCTTGTTGAATTCATTTGCATTTGATATATCCTTTAAAATTATACTATGACTTGTCATTGGACAAAAACGTTATTGCGTGCATAGAAAG